AAGTATACAAGACTTGATGGTATAACTTGTACATTAGTTATATTCCTCTACATTTTATATCCTCATTCTTGATTCCTCTTTGCTTCATTTTTCTTCTCTATTGCTAGTTAACATTATCCTGCAATGTTTTACATATCTTTGAAAACTACCTTACGTTCTTTTGGGAATTGGTAGGATAGAAAGAGCAGCAATATGGCTTAATAAGATCCCTCAACTATGTGTTAGAATATCCACGTTCTAGTCTGTGTAGTAAATAATTTGGCCTTGCCCAGAGGGTTCTGGCCTTTTCCCTCAGCTTCTGGGAGGTAATCTGTGCCATGTCTGATAGAAGCATCTTTGTTTAAGATGGAAGCTGGCCATAGTAGATCTTGGGATGGGCCTGGCCATACCCAATAGTTGTAGGGTAGGGGCTGGCCAGGCCTGAAAGACCAACCATGCGATTTAGGGTGGGGGCTTTGGGTCAGTGGGCCTGGAGATGAGTTCAACCATACGGGTAATCAATCAATCAATCAATCATGCCTATGCACTGAAGCCTCAATAAAAAATCCAGACACTGAGGCTTGAGTGAGCTTCCCTGGTTGGTAATACTCTGTGTGCACGAGCACACATCGATGCCAGGAAAGTAACGAATCCTAAGGACAAGGGAAGCTTCATGTGTGGAACTTTCCCAGACTCTACGTGTCTCTTCCTTTGGCTAAATTTAGTCTGTATCCTTTCCCTGTAATAAACAGCAACCCTGAGCATAACAGCTTTCTGTGAGTTCTGTGAGTCCTTCTAGCAAGTTATTGAAGCAGAGAGTGGTTTTGGAAACCCCTGAACTTGCAGCTGGTGTCAGAAGCAAAGGCAGTCTTGTGCAGAGGACTGGTCCCTCACGCCTTGCAGTTTGGCTTACTCTAGGGATAGTCGTTTACTACCTGTCTGCCCTTGGACCAGCCACCTGAACTTGCTATGCCTCGGTTTCTTCATTTACACAATACATACTCACTTGCCCTGCCTACTTCAAAGAGTTACGACAGTCAAATGAGAAAATACAATGTGAAAATATTCTAAAGACAAATTATCACAGAACATTAATTAAAATTCTGGGACTTAAAATGAAAGGAATTTTTGAAAGAAATTGATGAACACATAGTTGAGGAGAGAAGTGAAGCCTCCGGCGGCCCAGCCCCTCTTACCTGGGGGTAACCTGGGTGATGTCAGAGGGGTGTAATATCCTGCAGGTGGTGAACGTGAATGTCGAGTTTGTGCACGACAGACACTTTCCTGGGTTTGAGGTCGCCACTGAAGTTGAGATTTTTAGGGAACCATACAGACAATTGAAAGACTAGGTTAATAATGTAAAAAGCTCATCATTATTTATTAATAATACAGCATTTATCAAGGGAATTTTTTACAAAAATCCCCAAATCTAAAAATGAAATGTACAAAAATATTGTATTAGTATCGACTGGTTAGTATGTAGTTAAATCCTTCAATACTTTAAAACTGTAATTCAAAAGGATTATAGATAGAAAAAAGAGAAAAACACATGAAAAAACTCCCCACGATCTAGCCATCCAGTCTTTCTAGGAGAGCCAAACTGGCTGCTCCGTGGTTCTCAAAGTGCGGCCCGCAGACCTGGTGGGAGTCTACGGGTCAGCACTTTCACAGCAACGCCAAGCTGCTATCTGCCTTTTCGACAGGGCTGGCCTTCGCACGGCTGGTGCAAGAGCAATGGCAGGAAAACTGCCGGCTCCTGAGCACAAGTCAAGGCAGTGGCATCAAGGTGTCCGAGCATTCTTCACTGTTGTCCACTCACAGTAGCAAGAGAAAAAAGCCAGATTCACATAAGAATTGTCCTTGATGAAGCAGTAAAAATTATTTATTAAATCTTGCCCCTTGAGTCTTTTCAACATTCTGTGTGATGAAACGGGGAGTGAGCATCATGCACTCCGCTGCAGACTGAGACACATGGTTATGCAGAGGAAAAGCACACGTGCAACGGAGTCGAAATGTTCTCAGGGAACACCATTTTTACTTGAAAGAACGACTAATAGACAAACTACAGTTATCCAGACTTGGATATCTGGCAGACATTTTCTTGAAAATGAATGTAGTGAGCCTGTCTCTTCAGGAAAAATAGCTGGCAGGATTTGCTGCCAGTGACAAAATCAGCTTTCAAGTGAAAATAAGAGTTTTGGAAAACGTGTATTCACTTGTATTGAGAGCCTGAAAGCTTCCTAATGCTAAACGACCTACCTGACGAGACAGGTGGTGATATCAATGCGACTTTAATATATTAAATATATATATCTGGAAGATCTACATAACTTAGTGAACCAGTATCTTCCAAATGACCAATGCCTGATGTTATAATATCACGCATGGGTAAAAGACGCATTCCAAGTAAGACAGACCAATAGATTTTAATGTAACAAAATATAAAAGTTCACTGATAGGGTTTCAGATTCCACATTGCTACAAACCTTAAAGAAACTACAACTTATCCAGTTTTGGTGTAATATCAAAGAATACTCACAAATAACTGAAAAGGCTCTTAAAATACTCTTTACTTTTCCAACTACATATCTGTGTGAGGTTCCATTTTCTTTATACTCTTCAACCAAAACATATATTGTAACAGACAATGTAGGAGCTGATAGGAGAACCCAGCTATCTTCTATTAAGCCATAAATCAGACACTGGCAAAACTGTAAAGCCAAACCATTCTTTTCACTACTTAAAAAAATAGCTATTTTTCATAAAACATATTATTTGTATTAATATGTAATTATTTTTAAATGAATTAAATATTTTCATAATTTCTCAGTTTTGATTTCTAATATAGTAAATATCAATAGATACAACCCACATTAACAAGCGATCTGGAATTCTCAGTGATTTTTAAGAGTGTAAATAAATCCTGAGCCAAAAAGGTTTGCAACCCACTGACTGATCTGATCTCTCTCTGCCCTGTCTATTTATGCAGGCTGGCTAAGAAGTGGAGAGACTCAGAAGATGTTCATCATCTTATATTCAAGATGGAGTACACCCCAAGGAAGATTTAAACAGAGGCAGTCAGCTGACCATACAGTAAGTCAGAATGCAGCAAGTACTAGTGGTTCCCAGACAACATTCAACTGAGCACTTTCTCACCTGTAACTGGACCACCTGCTGAAGTGATGGGTGGAAGGAAGATTCCTGTTATTGGCTTGGACACTGAAGGTTCCTGTTGCACTTGAGGCTCCTGAACCTGAAAAGTGATACCCTCCTCATCATCCTCTTCTAAATCTGAGAGGTGATAGATGGCATCCCTGGGCAACTGGGTAAAGCCTTTCGTGATGACACCTGGTCGTGGGTCAAGAATGGTTCCTAAATGTGGCTGAGCCAGCTGCTGCCAGTGGTGCAGAGTTTGTGACCCTGAATACACAAGACAAAAAAGGAGCATGTTTTACATCTCCCGCAAATACTAAATCTTGAAACAGAAGCTAAAATTATACAAGTAAAAAAGTAATGATAATAATAAAACTACTTATTTGGTCTTAATATTTTGGTAAAATTTGTAAATTAAAGTTCTCTGTGGAAGACTGACAAGATGCTAAAGGTATAAATAATAATCTATTTCAAAAGTTAACTTTAAAAAAGACATCTAAAGTAGCAGTGAAACAAGCCAAGGCAACACTGTTAAAAGGAACTAGGATGCTGAGGCAGTGATGAGAAGGAAGCTATGTGCCTCAGAGGTGGTGCTGTATTTTCGCAGGTGACAAAAATCAATACTCCTTTGCTAAAAAGCCAGGCTCCTAGGTTGGAAGACACCTTGAATTTCAGTATTTTTTTTGCATACTTTCCCACTTGCACCAGATGCAATGTCTAACTATGTCTCAACAGTCATTTCATCCTAACAATGGCAGCTCTGACAAATACCTGCACTTATCATTAATGAATAAAACTAACTTACAGAACCTTTGAGTTTGAGGGGTCCTTACAGATTACCTACTTAAAATTCTGCCTAATGAAGACTCTTTTATGATAATAGCACAGAATCATTTGAAGATTGTCAATATTTTAAAAAAACAAGAAATTTAATTTGAATTCAAGTTCTATCTTAGGAGAGAACAGAAACTGAACTGAAATTAAGAACTGAAAAAAAGAAAAATACAGACACACATAACTCTAAGTAAATGACACTTCTTGGATAAAGAACTCTTTTTTGAAAAGCAAGGTACAGACGAAGTATTACATCTAGATTATTCTTATTTATCTACCATATCCCATTTATCTTACCATAAAAACTGCTGTCAATGATATTCTTTAAGAAAGGACAAGAAAAGATTACTCCTCCCCCCTCACATTTATATTAAAAAACACCAGCAGACGAGAATTGAGGGCCGATGACTTGGAGAATGCAATCTCTTCATACACTGTCCACAAAGTACTACAAGGCACTGTTGCCCCAACAGCAAGATTTAGGGACAATAAAGCTATCTTCTGCACACAGTGCTCTTATAATTACAATACAAATCTCAATTCCAGGGCAAGGAAAGGCCAATAAGCAATGTGGCTTAAAAATGGTCTTCACTGATTTATTACCTTCAAGAGGCTTGACAATTTGTAACTTTTCAGGCATAAAGCCTCGAAGGCAACTGACACTGCTGAGCTCTGTGGTCTCCGACTGGTCAGTGCAGAGAGAGGCAAGGCTCTCAGTGGGGGTGCCACAGCCACTAACCCCTTCCTTCTGGTCAGCCAGAACCTGGATCTTCCGTTCCCACTCTTCAGCAAAGAACTGCTTCTCACTTAAGTAGTTCTGTCGTCGCAGACTGAGGCGATGCAGTGCTGTGGCCACATCACTATCTTCAGACGGTCCTGGCTGACCCACTTTCTCAATGTTCCTATGGGAAAATCACATTCACTGATTAGATCTGTAAGGGTCATGAGCACAACCTAGACCTCTCCTTTCTACAATGGTGAATGTTCAAGAGACTGACCTTAAAAACACAGTATTTTTTCTCAGATACCTGGAATACAGAAAAAGTAACAAGAAACCAGAATCACTAATATTATGTATCATTTTTACACATCATTTCAAGTGACTTCAGATAGGCAAAAATATACTTTATTATTATATGTGTTTCCTAACTTTTCTGTTTTACTTTATGAAACTACAGATATAACTATAAATTCAGCTTAGTCAAAAAAGTAAATATTATATTTCACTGAATCTATCTTACCATTGATTGCAAGAGATACTACTACTTTATGTCATATTAAGGAAAAAAACGCTACCTATTAAACTATGACATGCCATTAGTTGTAAAACATAAACAATTCCAAAAATATTAAAATGTGAAAAAACTTGCTTTGGGCCATGGAATCCTCTAGATTATTGTATTGTAGAACATTTAGAACATGTAGCACATTCTAGAATATTGTAGAATATTTAAAACAACAAGAATGGTAACTACCATATTTTCATAATCTGCAATAAACATTTTTTCACTTCTCAACATTTTTTAAATTGGAGGTATCTTATAACTGATATCAAAAGAAAGAGAAGCCAGCTGAGTTGCAGTTGCTCCTGACTACTATGTGTGAATTTACAGAGATCTGTCTGTTAGATCTTCTCCTAAGGTAATTGTGTACAACGAGGCAGTAGTGACACACCAAGCTACCAAGTGCAGAACCTGTCCACCACAGACCAGGCACTAGAATCAAACCTCAGGGAGATGGATTTCTGCAATAGGAAAGATTTCTCTCAGGTGGCAGACATCTATCTTTCAAAAGCTTTCACCTGACTTTCCAGTAATGCTGTTTAACTTCCAGTTATATGCAATTCAATGAACTGAATGAATGAAAAGCAGAAAAAAATCTAAATTTAAACAGGAAATTAAAAGCAAACTAGTTTTCCTCAAAAGATATTTAAGCTTATTGTTTATCGTAAAGGCACAAAGCAGCTGAGCTTATGAGCACGGTTTACAAGAAGGCATCATCTGAAGCTATGTGTAACTGCCAAGGACCACACAGATTCAAACAAATTTGACTCTGAATGTGAAGAAGATTTAGACACAAACTTTGCCATACCGAAGAAGAGAGTAAGCTCCACTTTGAATACGCTTAATTAAATGTAGCTTTTTCAATCCAGAAACTTTTATGAAATCAGTGATCTGTTTTACAAATAATGATACAGGGCATCATTACTGGATGAAAACCGACAGTTCCAGAGCTTCCCTGGGACAGCACCCAGTAGGGCTGGAATTTGAGTGGGTGAATCCGGTATGTCAATGCACAAGCAACGCAGAATCACTGCCATGATCTGGGTTTCTTACCCTGGAGCGTCCTCTGAGCTGCTGCCCTGGTTCCGGAGTGTTCTGTCCTCTGTTTGCTGTAAACCAGACTCAAAAGGCTTTGCTGTCATGATGACACTTGAACGGTTGGAGCCTGGAATGGGTAGCAGAGCTGGCAATGGGACAGAGTGACCCCGCGTGTCATTGGCAACCCTGACAGTATCAAATACCCGTTTCTGTTGGGCTCTGTCAAAAAAGAAGTGTTCGTTATGCCACTACCGACCACTGGAGTACTCTAGAAAAGAGACACGTATGTGCAGTTCATTAAAAATAAAGCCACCCTGAACAACCTCTAAAGCTTAGGAGAAATTATTAGAAAATAAACTTCAGAACAAGACAACGTTCTTACAACTGTGAGGACTATGAAGAAAAATCTGAATAGTAAGCAGATTTACTACTGAATCTCATAATATTTATCACTGTAGATTGTGGCTTCTTTTTAATTTCCATCCCGACAGTTGAGTGACAACCCTTGTGATCTGTACTTACTTTTGTTTAAAGAGAGAAGATTCCTCATCTAAACTCAGCTTCTTACGCATGGTCCCCTCAATCTCAGCTGCCAGGGATTCCTAAGAAAAAGAGTTTGAGATTCCTATGGTGATTATGTAAGAAGCCCGTCAAGAGAAATGAACTGTTCTTAAATCAATTAACAAAGTCTCCAGAATCCCATATTTTTGCTGTTATAATAAAAGAAAATACAAGAAAATAGTCACAGTCTAAAACACAGGGTTTTCCCAAATGTAACTTTTTTTTTTGAGGAAGATTGGCCCTGAGCTAATATCCAGTCTTCCTCTTTTTGCTTGAGGAACATTGTTGCTGAGTTAACATCCATACCAATCTTCCTCTATTTTATGAGGGATGCTGCCAGTGGTTTGATGAGCAGTGCTAGGTCCACTGGCATGCGAACCTGTGAACCCTGGGCTGCCCAAGGGGAGCGCGCAAACTTAACCACTATGCTACTGGGCCAGCCCCTGGAAATGCAACTTTTCAACAAGAACCAATTACTTTTTCATGATCTATTTTGACAGGAAAACAGTGGAAAAACTCAACATGATCAATAGAAAATATTACATATGCAGAAACGCAAAAATAAAAGGTCTGAAAGGCTATAAACCAACATGTTAACAGTGATTCTGTGGAGGTCAGGATTTGAGGGTACGTAACAATTTCTTTTTGCATAATTTCTAACTTTTCTATAATAAACATGTATAGCTTTTATAATATAGAAAAATCACTAAGAGAAAACTAAGCAAGCTCCCCCTTCCCCTGGTCAGGGGTGAGGATTCAACTAGCATGGGTGGCATGCTCAGTGGGGCTGAGCTGACAATGCCTGGAACTGGAGATAGCACAGTGCGAATTCATGATTTTAAATATACACAGATAGATGAACATAAATAAATGGAAAGACAGATACAGATGTGTTTGTGTGGCTGTATGAATGAACATACATATATTTCCTAGCTTCACCTGCTGAGAGGGCCTGGAAGCAATGATACTCTAGTGGCAAGAGACACAAAGCACCCAGATCTTGGAGTCTAAATATCATTCCTCATTAAAAGTAACCAGAACTCCTTGGAGAAATGGCTGATTCCAGGACTAGGACAGGGAAAGAGCAAGATGAGCATGAAGGAGATCCCACTGCCATATCTGGGACCATTTAAGTATCAAAATAAAAAACAACAATAATGGATTATAACCCATCAACTAAAATAGGAATCCATGAATCCATACTGACACAACTAAATGAAAAAATAAATATATGAGACATAACAGCTCTAACTTACAAAAGAATACCAATTAATAAACCTTGAAAAAAATAATGGAATTAGAAAATCACCATTTGGCAATCATCATAGTAACAGAACTGAGTCAGACATGAACAATCAGTAGGTGCTGAAACCAATGGGCAAAAGTGTGATGAGGAACAGGATATTTAAAAAGTCTCAAAGTATCTCCCCACAAAACATCACTTTGATCACTTGGTTAAGATAGTGTCTGCCAATTTTCATCACCGTAAAGTTAATCAGTCACATGAATTTAATTAACTATTAATTAACATTGATTAACTTAACAGTGGAAAAAATTGGCAGATACTACCTTAACCAAGAGATCAAAGTTAATTAACATCATCAGTAATGGGATAAGTAGACAATGTGCACATCCAGATACAATGTACTGAGAAGAACGTGGCATTATTTCTGCCAAAAATACATTATCTGAATCTAATCATAAGGAAACACCAGACAAACCCAAACTGAAGACATTCCACAAAGGTCATGAAAGACAAGCAAAGACAGAACTGTCCCAGATTGAAACAACCAAATGCAACATATCCTTCAAAGGACACTGTCGAGACAATTGGCAAAATTTAAATGGGCTCTGTGGATGAGATGCAAGTATTGTATCAATGTCAATCTCCTGACGCTGATGGTTGTAGTGTGGTTATATAGGAGAGCATCCTTGTTTTTAGTAAATACACATTCAAGTATTAAGAGGTAACAGAGTGTATCTGGATCTTACTGTTAAATGGTCCAGAAAAAAAAAAGAAAACAATATGGCAAATATAGTAAAATGCTAAAAATAGAGGAATCTAGGTGAAATATAGATGAGAGTTTTTCGTACTATTGTTGGAACCTTATTCTAAGTTTAAAATTATTTTAAAATAAAAAGTTAAAAACCCAAACTTCTGCCCCCATATTCTTCAGAATATCTACTATAATTAATAGCTCAGTCTTTTAAATAATATCACAGGCTTGCATCTAAGTGTTTAAGAACAGAATTGTTAAAAAAACTCTTTGAACCAACATCACAAATTTTTACATAAACTCAGAAGTTTTCATTAATTTAATTCAAAAAACACTGTTTATTGATGAATTAAATAAACATGATGCCTGCCCTCATGGGGCTTACATTCTAACTGGAGTTAAATATACCAAGAAACTCAAGATCTACTGAAAGAGGTTTTAGATGTTCAGAGCACTATTTAAATAAGTGGCATGTGGTGGGCCTAGAGTAAGGATGACCCAAGTTTAAGTAGCTTTATGGTACAGACCTAAACCTAATTGCCTCAGGGTTCAATCGTTATACCATCAGAAACCATATCACTCTCAGGACAATCTAATGTTAAACAAGTTTCCTTAAATATATATCTTTCTTAGCTCCTTACCCCAGAAAAAGCTCCATATGACTGGGAGAAGTAGAGATGAGCAGCAGGGCCAGACCTACTACGAAGTTCCTTTATTTCTTCTTGGGACTCATGTAACATTCCCAGACACTCCATATTCCTGTCTTGTAACTCATGCAACTGAAGGAAAGGATGGTAATTAGTGTACTTTATTGTAGTCTCAAAACAACAATGGGGGGAAAAACCCATGGGGGTAAGTATTAATTTTATCCAGAGGGCTAGCTACCTTTATGAACGTAAGTTCAATATAAAAACTCTGAAACAAACTAAGTAAGGAGAGTATATAGATTTCAAGCTGCCAGAATTAGGGGTGCCTAGGCCAGAATTACACATAAACATGATTTCCTAAAAAATGTGAAATGTAGATGAGACAATCATAACTGTTAATTCAATATTTAATGCTTCATACTCTTAAAAAAACATAGAGGAAGTATAATAGCTGTGGTCAAGTTACGTTTAGCATAATGTTAGATACGTATATTTTTTAAATATCACTCTGAAGTATGTAAATGACAAGATCAAGTCTACAAAGTATTGTATAAGATGTCATGGTGCTTAATCACCCTAAACAAGTAGTTTCTTCTCCCTTGTTGTTTCGGAATCTTCTTTATAGTTAGAAACACAAGCATGGTGAAAGAGCACATAGTTTTCAGAGTACATTTTAACTTCAAAAGTTTCTTCAAGTGTGGGACGTGGACTGGATCATCAGCATCACCAAGGCTGGGGATGCTTATTGAAAATGCAGATTCTAGGCCCTTACTCTAGACCTACTCACTTGGAAACTTTTGGGGATGGCGTCTGGGAATTTCCATTTAAAACTGACTTTGCCAGGTGATTCTTATGTATGTGAAGGAACCACTAAATTACATTTAACACATAGAATTTTTATGTAGATATTTCTCCTGACATTATTTATTAGAATTTATTAGAAATTATCTTATTTTAAAAACTGTTGGGTTAGTTAAAGTAGACTGGTAAAAGAGTCACATATTCCTAAAGAATCTTATAAAAGTTAAGGTTTACCCTGTTAATTAAGAAGGATGCTGTTATGTCATTAGATTTAGAGACAGAATTTTTTAAATGTTTTACTTTTTAGATCTCATAATTTCATCTTAATCTTCTTTTGTTGTATTTGTAAATCTGGTAATCACCTTTAATCATTCTTACTCACAAGATGAAAGAAACCGTCCATCGCCCCCTCCCATATTACACAGGATAAAGAAGATTTCGTTACCTCCATTGTCAGTTGTCTTTGGGCATCTTTGGAAGCTTGTAGGTGAAGTCTCAGTTCTTCCTTCTCAATCACATGCTAACAACATATTCAAAGAGACATGTGAAGACTTCCCTATAAAATATAGGCTACTCTCTCTCTCTTTTTTTTGAGGAAGATTAGCCCTGAGCTAACATCTGCCACCAATCCTCCTCTTTTTGCTGAGGAGAACTGGCCCTGAGCTAACATCTGTGCCCATCTTCCTCTACTTTATCTGTGGGATGCCTGCCACAGCACGGCTTGACAAGCAGTGTGTAGGTCTGCACTCGGGATCCAAACTGGTGAATCCCAGGCTGCCGAAGCGGAACATGCAAACTTAAGTGCTGTGCCACCAGGCCGGCCCCTACTCTCTCTCTTTTTAAGACACCTTAAGAGTGTCTCTCAGGGGTATGGTCTAGAGGCCTATAAAAAGCTAACCTTTCAAAAGCCAAATAAGAGCAATAAAATGGGCATAATACAAAATCCATCAAGATGTTCAGAGGACAACGAACATGAGTCAATAATTCACATCACAACTTTCTGAGGAAAATCTGACTCTACTCCACTGAAAGGATTAGTGACTTGAAAGCAGTTATTCATGATATTTCATGATGAAGACTAAAACAGCAATCACATTAAAGTACTGTAAAAGGGTAGGGACCATGTTCATTCTGCTTAATGTGTCTAGTACTCAGCAGAGTCACCATACTAGGTGAGTGCGTCAACAAACATCTGCTAAACGAATGAATGAACCTACTTCTTTAAGTTTGTGCTGAAGATCTACAATCTGAGACAAGAGAGAGGAGATCTCTTCTTGGTATCGAATCAGTTCATCACTCTTCCCAGACAATTCTTCAGTCATTCTGGACATCTGAGCATTTGTTTCACCTTAGAAACAAAATGAAAATTTAAAAATTAATATAAATGTAGGGTAGGGGTTGGCAAACTATGGTTTATGGGCCAAATCCTGTTTTGTAACAAGCACTGGATTATCACAAATAGATTTTTCTTTAACATCAATTTAAAAAATAACCCCAGATAACCCACAGCAAAAAATAAAGGTTCTTCTGATATAGGCTAATACTGGGAGTTAAACAGGAGGCAATGAAGCTACAAAGAGATGACTCATAAAGGCAAGCAAACTACAGGTTTTGCCTTAATCTTTTTCTTTATGGAGGACAAGAAGGCTGAAAGAAATAGGTGAATTGTACATCTTTGCGAGTGCCAAGACATAATCTCGTTTATGTCTCTGAGAACTCTTCAGGGACATATATAAAATCCACAAGCAATGAAAATTAAACTTAACAAATCTAACAAAGGAACAATTTTGGAATGAACAGCCACAATCTGTTAAAGCTACTGCTAAAGCTACTGAGATGCTTCCGTAGGAGAGAGATTTCCTGGCATACCTAGCAAACTGAGTAGGGCCTCGGAAGCAAGTCTTACAGCCTAGCATTCTGGCGTGCTCATGAAACAGAACCTTTAGAATTCCATTGGGGAAATAAATCTTTATTTCATAATAAAAACATTGAAATCTCGGGGCTGGCTCCGTGGCTGAGTGGTTAAGTTCGCGCCCTCCGCTTTGGCGGCCCAGGATTTCACTGGTTCAAATCCTGGCCGCGGACACGGCACCGCTCATCAAGCCATTGTGAGGCAGCGTCCCACATGCCACAACTGGAAGGACCCACAACTAAAATATACAACTATGTACCGGAGGGCTTTGGGAGAAAAATGAAAAAATAAAATCTTTAAAAAAAAAAAAACCAAAAAAACCCCCCCAAAAAAACATTGACATCTAAACCTAAGTGGCAAAACTATTTCTCAATATCATATAAACTATTTTAACACTGACAGAAAGCTCACAATATTTCAAAGTATGGCAATGAGGAGGCAGGAGACCAGCATCTCGGCTCTTGGGCAAGTCATTTCTTCTTTGTTTTTGAAAGTGTAAAAGGTGGGTAATGATAGTGCTGATGAAGAAGATTCAATTTATGTTCCTTCTGGTTCTCTAATATTCTGTTATTTGAAGGTATCATATTTTGAGGTCTACAGCCCATATGAATTGATATAAAGTTATCATATCTTCTCTTTCAACATAAAAGGCTATACATTTGTAGAAAAATTAAGTGTCTGTCTCTAGTAAAGCTGATCTTTTCCCAACTTATTTATTTATTTATTTTGGTGAGGAAGATTGGCCCTGAGCTAACATCTGTGCCAATCTTCCTCTATTTTGTGTGTGGGACACCACCACAGCATGGCTTGAGTGGTGCATAGGTCCATGCCCAGAATCCAAACCTGTGAACCCCGGGCCACTGAAGTGGAGCACACAGATTTAACCACTACTCCACTGGCCAGGCCCCTCATTTATTTATTTATTTATTATTATTTTTAAAAAAATATTCTGCCTCTCCATTTCTTTTTTTTTTTTTTAAAGATTTTTTTTGGTTTTCTCTCCAAAGCCTCCCGGTACACAGTTAGTATATTCTTCGTTGTGGGTCCTTCTAGTTGTGGCACATGGGACGCTGCCTCAGCGTGGTTTGATGAGCAGTGTCATGTCTGTGCCCAGGATTCGAACCAATGAAACACTGGGCCGCCTGCAGCAGAGCACGTGAACTTAACCACTTGGCCACAGGGCCAGCCCCACATTTATTTATTTTTATGAGGAAGATTGGCCCTGAGCTAATATCTGTTTGCCAATCATCCTCTTTTTACTTTTTCTTCCTCCCCAAAGCCCCAGTACATAGCTGTATATCCTAGATGTAAGTCCTTCTAGTTCTTCTATGTGGGATGCCATGACAGCATGGCTTGATGAGCGGTGTGTAGGTTCATGCCCAGGATCTGAAGTGGTGAACCCCAGGCCCAACCCAATTTATTGTTTAAAATTATTTTAGTTAACAATACATCAAACTGAACTATATTCCTTCACAGACGCGTAGTTTGCACTTAATAAATACTCTTAAATGTTAGGTTTTATGCCATCATTTGAGCTCTGGCTCTGCCACTCAACAACTTTCTGACTTTGGCAAATCACCTTCCCTACAGGACTATTTCCTCATCAACAAAATAAGAGCTTTGGTTCCTTTCACTCTAACATGCTATAACTGATAGAAGTATAGGTCTTCATTTAATGATGATCGCAATTTGAAATAAAGATATTTCTTAAAAGTACATATAGTACTTTATTTGGAGTTCTAGGCTCAAAGTGATAATCCAAGATTTTCAGTAAGTATTTAAAATTGTTTCTTGAGATGCTTCTATTAAAACTATTGATCTAGTTTCTGAGTTGATGATATCCTACCAAATAATTGTCCAAGGGCTATGAAAGAGAACATGTTAATACTCACGAAGTTCTTTAACACAGTCACTGACAAGCTGTTGTTCCTTCTCTTCATAGGTAATAGTTTCTGTCTTTATGTGACAAGCCTCAAGAAAAAGAAATCAGTAAGTGATAATATCTTCCAATGATTTTATAGTATTAACTAAAAACCTTTCAATTCTCATTTGCAGATAAAAGCTCATTACTTACAAAGGAAAAGAAAAATCCATAAAGCTTCATCAACCATAAAATAAAGATAAGAAAAAGGACATGACAGACATCTCCCCCTTACTCCTTCCAGGGCCTCTGCACATGCCTACTCGTCCCCCTGGCCCCTCCCCTCCACCATACATCTCTGCCTGCTAATAATCCCTAGCCTCCGATAAAATGTCAACTACTTAAATAGGATTTCTTTGATTCTTCCCCATTATACAAGCTCTCAAAACCTTGTAATTTTCCAATATAGTTCTTATCATAGTTGTAATTATTCAGTTATTTGTGTGATATATATTCTACGCTGTGGCTTTCTCTATTTCATCTGTCAGCTTGCTATTATCCATTTTTCAGTGGGATCTAAGTAACACTGGAAGGCATATACATGTGCCTTGGCTGTCACTCCGTCATTGGAATGTCAACAGCAAATCCTTAGTTATGCTATATTTCACTTCAATACTACTTGGACCTAAACTGTATAGCCTTTAAGATAAAGGAAAGTGGGAGTTAGGTTGAATGTACCTTGGATCGAAGAGCCATATTCTCTTCTTCCAGTTCCTTGAGCTTTTCTTGCAGCATGTCCAACTGCAGCAAACCTTGAGATAAGCTAAAGGACTCATTGAACCGAAGTGGAGTAGAACAGCTGGAATCAGTTTCACTCTCTTCAGAAGCAATGGAGACAATTCGAAGTAACTCATCTTTCTTGGACAGCTCATGCTGCAGCTGATTAACCTGCACATTGAAAGAGCTTGATATACAAGATGTTCCTTATTTTGCATTATTTCTATGTAATATAGCTTTTAATTCAGGGAGCAATTGTTTCTCACCATAAAACAAAATCATCAAATCAGGTGCTAAATTTTACTGACAAAAATAACAAGTGCTAAAAAAACCCAAACCTCAGATACTCCCTAAGCTATAACTTTAGAGCAATAACCAACATTATAGCCTTTTCTGTACTATGTGAAAAGAAAAGCCAATTACTGTATTCTATATAATAGGAATATAGGAGGAAAATGTCACATAGGATAATGATGCATTCACAGTTAAAAGCAAAGTAAAACTGAAGAATCTTTAAAGCATCAGAATAGACCCTACCTCAAATTCTCATCCTAAAGGATTGTCCTTTTAAGCTCTTAACTCTACATGACTGCCTAACTTCAGTCCTAGGGAATAAATATTTTCAACACAGCATCAAACGGTATTAAACATAATGTATTTATACAAAATAAATGAAACCTGATAATAACAAATTATAGAAAATTTTAAATGTAACCATGCAAGTTAATAATAAATCAGATATCACTAAAAATATTTATTGCTATGGAATAAATATATTTCATACATTTCTTTTCCTTTTCTCCTTTTGTTTGCATTTCTGCATAAAGATACTTCATTTGGCTATCTATTGTTTGGGTATACATTTTTTAAAAATAAACTTAAGATTACACACGAAGTCTACACAAAGGGGTGAGGATAAAGTGTGGAATCTAAGCAGGGTGGCACAAGTGTTGTAGGTACCGAATACGGGCTTTTATATTGAGTAAGGTGGAATCACATAAGCACTCCTCTGTACACAACATTTTATTTCTCTGGTTAGTTCAATAGTTGCCAACAAAGTCAACGTGTACTGGTCTTATTTTACCTAACTATTGTCATCACTTCAGGGCTACCCAGGAAAACAAATTTCTCCAGTGCCCTAGACCTAATTACTTCATGCTGCAAATACTTGATCAAAGACTTACTTGATCAAAGGCTTGTCCCAATTGCTCCTCCAGGGCTTCATTCTGTTCGGACAAGACATGGTTCCGCTTTAAGAGAGCTTGTCCAATTCGAGCAGCTAGCTCCAGATCGCGATCCCTCTGTTAAAATACAAAATACATCTTTTGAAGTACAAACAAAATTAAATGGTAGTTTAGAAATTTCGCAGTCAATTTTGCTAAACTCAAAAGCAACATCCTAGAAAGTATCGAGTTCCATTTTAATGCCCAGATTCAACAAACAAACACAGGGCCTGGGACACAAGTCGTGTTTAACATATGTTGGTCAAATGAATGACCACCATACTTATAAATCCAAGAGGGCATTTCTTTTCTCCATATCTAGTGAGATTTACTGATCATCCTGTTAATTAGGACACAGCAACCCAACCTTTAAACTCACAACTTTAGAGAATTAGAAAATCAATATAGTCTTTAAAAATGAGGACAGTGCCTGGCACACAGTAAAAGCCCAACAAATATTTGTTGAATGCATTTGTCTATCAAGCGTGGTAATAATACAGCAGGTATGCTGAAAACAGTTCCAATTAGGAAATAGCTTATACGCATTCAGAGCCAGAGGCTTACAGGAAAGCATCATCAAGAGCCCTATTGCCAATTGGTGCAAGAATGATGATGTGAAATAAAATAGGGGATAACAGACTGAAGTTGTGAGCCTACAGGGTTCTGTTTAGAGTACAGAGAAGAGGGGAGCCTCTAACTAAGAAGTCAGTGGTAATGATGCAGGGAGGCCTATAGAAAAGCCAAACAAGGCAAGAATTATTCTTTCTGGGCAGATGGTGATATTTAGCAAGGGCACAGGAAACCCACCTACATGGTGGTAGTGAGGACTGTATTCCATAAAATGGAGAACTGTCAATACACATGCAGCTGTCTTATATGCGAGTATGAGTTCCACTTACATTAATCACTACAAACAAAATTAAGCTTCTATCTTTTTACTCCATAGCACATGAAAACAGATGGATGGGTTATCTCCAAATTTTCCAGGCCCACTTATCTCATTTTCAATATAGGATAAGTGGCATACACAAAATCAATCTGAGACGCAGGGAGAGGAGAGAAGCGTACTTCAAAGAGAAAGATGGTAAGATCAAATGAATCTGAAGTGTAAGTAGAGACCTCTAAGACTGCCCAGTAATAGAGATACACTATACATACGAAAAATGTCATGGACAAAGTGAGCTCAAATAACAGCCCAAACTGAAAGTAAAAAAGAGAAGATGCTCCAAACTGCTGGTGTTGATTTGCAATGGAGCTCCTTCTTGGATGGGCAGCTCTGCTCCAGGGTGAGTGAGTAACAGCAAGGATTTATTAAGAAAAAAATTTTTTTAAAGATTGCTTTTCTAGGACAGGGAAGCCAGCCAGCACCACTGTAACAACAAAAAATTCAACTTTCTACAACTTCATAACAATAAACTTCAGGAACCATTCTACTTTGGAATGCCAGTGGTATGTCAGTTGTTCAGTTCTAACAACCTTATACAAAATAACACAGAGCAAAGACATCATCATTTTTCATTTGATGTGCAAATTTGATAGATTCTAAATGATCTTCCAGTTTTAGCTTTTTGTACTTAAGAAAGAAAAGATATATTCCTACCTCTGCCAGGAGATGTGTAACCATGTCGATGTCATTGTAAGTTTTGGTCATCTGCTCCACCCTGTCTGTGCCTAGAACTAAGGAAGTTAAATCAAGTGTTTATAGGATTAAAAAATAACAGAAAATTTTAAATATTCATAAGAATTGAAAGATAATGACAACAAACTTAGAGTTTTACAAAAAACCATTCAGGAGAAAAAAATATACGTGAAAACAGAAAAGAAATGTTTCATGTATTAGACACTCAGGAAATAGACCAATTATTGCAAACAAAATGTACATCATACGCTGAACTAAGAAAATATCAAATGATCACAAGGAAGTCACCTCCTGGCTATCTCCTCCTCCCTCAGGAAGATTAGAACTTTAGCCCACTCACACTAGAGAATGTGGGCCTGAAGAACGGATTGACTCACCAGTTGGTTTATATCCTAATCTAAATTAAATTTTCTGAGGGACGAGTTAGTGAGAGGTTATGCTCTTACAAAGGAATTCAATTAGAATTCCATTGTGACAGTCTTGAACATCTACAATCGCCTACCATGTGAGCTAGTATCAGTAAATAAAGAAAAGGACTTGTAGGACTTTTTGTAGCTCTGTTATAAACCATGATCTTTTTTAGCTTAATTAAGCTAAAATTAAGCTAAGGTTTTAATTAAAACCCCTTTATCTTTGTGGTAATCTTCATCATATATAGGCCTTTGCTATAAAATAAATTGTATACTATACAGTTGGTTGAACCTGTGAATGTGAAACCCGTGGATATGCAGGGCCGACTGTAGTTGCTGTACAATGTACACCATTTTATAGTAAAAACGACTTGAGCATCCTCAGATTTTGGTATCCTCAGGGAGTCCTGGAACCAATCTCCTGCAGGTACTCAGGGACAACTAAACCATTACTTGCATAATTCAAGCCCAGTATTTCTGCACTTCATAAACTCAGGAACCGCCAATGTACCTGGATAATTTAGCTCCAAAGAGGATAAATATGACCCCAAAGATTCCACAGTCACAATAAGCAATATCTTTTTAAGTTAATGATGTATAACAAAAAGAGGCATCTTTTGACTTTGGAGTACATTTCATGATACAGATTTATGTTTGACTTAGACTGATTTTATAACTATTTTGTCTTGAAGAAAAAACAGAGACTTTGGAGCAGAAAAGCTGAAAAGTGGAGTGTTATCACCTCCATATTATAAATACGGAATCTGACTCTCAAAAGGGCCATATTTATAATAGAGAGGTGATAACACTCATCTTACAAGGTCATTAGGAGGCTCAAATATGATAATCTACTGAGCAGTATTCAGTAAACTGCTAAGTATCAACTGTTTACAGGCATTCCTCTTTAGACACAACTGGTATGTATGAGACAGCCCTGATTTTTTTTTTTTTTTTTTAAAGATTTTATTTTTTCCTTTTTCTCCCCAAAGCCCCCCGGTACATAGTTGTGTATTCTTCATTGTGGGTTCTTCCAGTTGTGGCATGTGGGACGCCGCCTCAGCGTGGTCCGATGAGCAGTGCCATGTCCGGGCCCAGGACTCGAACTAACGAAACACTGGGCCGCCTGCAGCGGAGCGCGCGAACTTAACCACTCGGCCACGGGGCCAGCCCCTGAAACAGCCCTGATTTTAAATTTTCTGTAAATAATCCTCTGAGTTGGCAGTAGATACTATGATTAGAGTCATTTGTAGCTCCTCAGCCCCATCTTAACACTTGAGGGTGTCTGAAAGACACTGTTAGACATTTTGCTTTTTATCTGAGCTTTTTTCTTCCTAGCATCACGCTTAAAATGAATCTGGGAATTACTTAGGGATTAATTATTAATGATAGTCTTATTCCTAGTTCAAAGTAAAAAAGTGCTGGGTTGATGGTATTAGGAGATAGCTAAAAAAGTTTTAAAGCGAATATAAGTAAAACAAAAACAACCCAAAAAACCAGAAAGAAACATTCTTACTCCAAAAGAATTTATATTTACAAGTAGAGAAACTGGCTCCATAATTTAACCACGGGGACAAGAGAAATAGGCTTTTGGGCCTAAGGCATCTTCACAATTTAACTTGATAGCATAGAGGTACAAAGGATTAAAAAATAAGGTAGACATGGCCTCTTCTACTTCTGGCCTCA